ATGGATGGATGGATGGATGGATGGATGGATGGATGAAAGGATGGATTAATGGATGGATGGATGGATGGATGGATGGATGGATGAAAGGATGGATGGATGGATGTACGGATGAATGGATGGATGAATGGATGGATGAATAGATGGATGAATGGATGAAAGGTAATAATTTCAGAATGTTATTGTGAGAGCTGACTGAGCTGATATGTACAAAATCTATAGTGTAGAACCTGACCAAATATGGGTGTTCAGTAACTGTTCATTGAAGGAGTGTTCTCAGGATTATAAATTCCATATTCTATTGTAGAGGAATGTAAAGGAACTTCACACAGAGAAGTGAAATCCTGATGACACCATTTCACACAGCTGACTTGCAAAAGGCCGTTTGCTTCTAAGCTACCCATGAACAGTAAATACAAAAGAAAAAAAAAAAGCCTAGAACAATGTATCTTAAATTTTTATATGCATACAATCTCCTGGGGATTTTTAAGTGCAAATTACAGCTCCATGGGTGACATCTAAGAGGCTGCTTTCCCTCTTGGCAAATCCAAGTGGCATGTATGCTTTTATGCACAGAGAGTGTACTTAGCCAAGTCCTAGCGTACGTGAATGTGTGACAGCATAAGGAATACAGTACCTGTCTCAAAATATAGTACTTGCTCCTATATCTAAACCATCATCCTGCCTCTGGCACAACAACTTAAAATCTATACATTCATTTATTCATTCAACAACCAAGAAAAGGTTAGTACATATTATGTGTCAGGTGCTGTTCTAGGTTCTAAGTATAAAGTAATGAGACAAATGAGGATTGGGCCTTCATTGCATCCAATGATAGACTGAGACAATAAATGCATAAACAATTTATCAAAATAGGTTCCAGTGGTAATTCAAACTCTAACCCAAATAAGTCCATTTTTATGAGCACGTGCAAAGCCTAAGAAGTCTCCTCTAGGTAGGAGAAAGTTGAACTGAGACTGAAATGCTGAGAATCAGACCACTGTGTGAAGATCTAAAACGCTGAGAGAAAATGAACAGGAGGTACAAAACTCTAGAGGCAACAATACGCTTTTCCTGGAGGAAAAGGGGGAAAGCTACTGTGACTAGAATTTAATGCTTTTGTGTGAATATAAGATATTGCTGGCCAGGAGATCAAAGAAGCAGAGAGATAAGTTCACACCTTGCAAAGTGGAGGCGAGTGCAGAAATCACTCCCAAATCGTCAGGAAGTCTCTACACGCGCTTCTGAGATGGTCTTAACACCCCCACAGAGGAGTAAAGAACGCTGTCTGGGTGGAGTGCGCCTGCCGGAAAATACATCTGTCTGCACAGAGCAGGGTGACTGCACAAGTGCTACAGTGAGGCATGGGACACAAAATTGGAAAAAAAAAAAAGACTAATCTGAAAGGCAAGAAAGGTCAAAACTGCACCTACATTTGTTTTTCCCTACAACAAACAGAAATACATCACGCATGACATGCACGCTAATCTAATAGCAGACTTGTTACAAACTCCATTACTGTAGAATTAATTACATGTTTTTTCCTGAGTAGAAATGATGATTAGGTAACTTTCAGAAAAAATATAAAGTCTTAACTGCTCTTCACTGTGGACTGCAGTCCCAAGATTTACTGACTTTTCGCAGAATATTGTAGACAGAAATGAGTGAAACTGGTAAAATAAGAAGATAGCAATGAAGGAAGTGAAATATATGCAAGCCACTCACTTTGCATTAATGAAAAAACTGAGTTAAAAATGAGTCACTATTACTATATAAATTATAAAATATTAAATAGCATATATAATAAAGGTTTTTGTACTCTGCTTACCTATTTATGTATCTTCCCGTCACACTGTTTTATTGGGATATATGTCAAACACCAAAGTCAACAAAGGGAGAATTCAAGGGATCAGAATAACTAAGAACACTGAATGTTATACTCTTTCGCGGGGGCAAAGAGGGGGACCGGGAATCAAACTCAAGACCTTGCGCTTGCCAGGCAAATGCTTTGCCCCTGAGCTATATCCCCAGCCCAGGAAGTTATACTCTTGATCCGATTTTAATTTTAATGAGCTTTTCTGCCTTTACTAGTGAGGAAGTCTGAGGATTTAAGGCCTTGCAACTAGTGGCTATTCACGTGTAAGTGCGTTTCTGTTGACTTTTGATTTTTGTCTGATGATGGAAGGCCCTACAAGCTGGTAGCTACTAACAGGTTAGAGCATTTCCAATTGACTTCTGACTTTCTGTCTCCACATATATGATTAAGGAGGTGTACATTAAAATGCTGCTGCAACCCTTCACCAGGGGGAAACAGCTAGGAGTTGTCTGTTAGTTGCAAAGAATACCATTGTGAGTAACTCTTTCTTGCCACAGCTCCTGCCAGGCTCATAATTTTAATATACTCATTCAGAATTATGTTTATATTCTGTGGCAAAATAGCAAGATAATTTTTGCTTGTTTGTCGTGTGATTCCATTCCGTTTACCTCCTTAGCATTCTTTTTTAACCATTAAGCCCATTAACCAGTGAAGTTCAGACTTCTTACCAGGGCTTTACTCCTTCATTCATCTCTGTAGCGCTTTTGGTAATCTTTGGCATTTATTATCAGGCACATTTTCTTTTTTCGTAGACCTTTCATATATCGCATTTCATTCTTTGACAAACACTAAAGGAGTGTCCAAGTTTTGTCCGTTTCCAGAATGTTAGGGCAAAGAGAGAGTGATCAAAGCCAGGTTATTTGAGTTCTTGTAAGTGTGAGACATCAGATCTTCTCCTGAAGAGCTAGAGGACACTGCTGGAGATTGCTGGGCAGTGGACTGACCCACCTTCTATCCATAACTTACCTTCTCTTTTTGGCTCCCTCTCCCCATTTCACCGCGTTAAGCAGGGGCTCCTTAACGCTATCGGATCATGTGCATTCCCGGCTGCATCGAGTTAAAAAAACCAAAGCTGTTTTATGAGGGAGAAAGGTGGTTAATGGTACACAAATGCCTTCTATGGGAGACGCAAGAGTACGGAGTTAATGCATGGAAACCTGACACATGCATGGAGAGGGTCACTATTTTTTCATCAATCATGTCTCATCATCAATAAAGAACTAAAGAGGAGGACACATTTCACTGTTGCAACTTAATAAGTGGAAAAGATACTTCACTGGCCAGTATTTCGAGTACAAAAATACTTTCTGTAATGTGCTTGGCCTATGCATCTATGATTCTAATAATAAAAGAAGGCTCTTTCATTCGGGGACACGGCACACACCCGTGGGCACGTAAATGCTTGTTCCCGGTGCGCTTGTAACATCTGGCTATGTAAGGCAATGCTTTTGCCTTTGTTTTCAGTTAAAAACAAAGTTGAGCTGAAAACAAAGGCAGAGTGAGCGGGTTCACCTGGGTACCGGTGTGGCATCAATAGCTCATTTTACGTAGCTCTAACCGTGAGACGTGACTGGTGATCGCGTTTCTTCCAGGGGAGGAGGTGGAGAGACAGCTGTGCAGAGATGCCATCCTGCCCATTCCTGTGGCCTGTGATGTCCCGTGCCCGAAGGACTGTGTGCTCACTGCGTGGTCCCCCTGGTCCTCCTGCTCTCACACGTGCTCAGGAAAAACTACGGAAGGCAAGCAGACGCGAGTGCGGTCCATCTTGGCCTACGCGGGTGAAGGTGAGGCCACAAGCTTCCGAAAGGACTTACGTTCCTTGAGAAAGCTGAACACGTTTACTGTGTGTAGCCCAGCTAAGGTGGTGATACATAAAAATTAACCAACAGAAACCTAGGAATTTCAGAATGCTTAATAGATTGATATAGCATAATATATTGATGAAATACGTGGACATGTTGATGATTCTGTTCCTCAGAGTGCAGTCTTGAAAATGATCATTAACAAAGGAGGAAAGACTTTTAAAAGTGAACTCACTTTACTTTTTTCCATTCCAGTAAGTCCAAAGGGTTAAACTTGTACAAAAGTCCAAGAATGATTCCTCAAACTCCACATTTCATTTTTTTGTCTATTTCAGCAGTTTTATCCTTTGAAACTTCCTTCTGCTGTCTCAAAAAATCATCTTATATGTCCAACAAGAAAGTTCATTTTAGGGGCTGGGGATTTAGCTCAGCGGCAAAAGTGCCTGCCTGGCAAGCGCAAGGTCGTGAGTTCGGTTCCCGGTACCGGAGAAAAAAACCAAAAAAAAAAAAAGAAAGTTCATTTTAAATCAACACCAGCATGGCTGTTGCTTGAGTGAAAATTGCATGCATTTTCTCCCCTTTGGATTTCCGAACAGAGGCTCTGAGATCCAGATGTTTCATATGTAGCTTGTGTTCATTTTTGAAGCATATTGCTCTAAAATATCTTCACCTTATGAATGAAAAATGCCTGTTTATCACATAGTCATACCTCCTTTGCAAGCTTTGTTGTCAGAAATTTAAGGCTTTTGGTAATTGTCTCTTAAACTGATAGCCAAATGCTAATTTGGCCTCCAAGTGATTTGGTGCTATAATGTCATTCTTACTTGTGTCTTTCTGGAAAATAAAACAGGAGTAAGGAAAACATATAAGTAAATCAAATTCTTTCACATGAAGGCATGTTCTTTCTTAAGAGGATAGGTATACCATTTAAATATCATGAAGTCACCTTTGCCTGTATACATATTTAGACTTTATAAATAGTGATTTCTAGATGTAGTAAACATGCATTTCTACATAATTCCAGGAAATAATCAATTTTGAGAGAATTTTGTATGGCCAGTAACTTTTCTATTTTTCTATTTATGAAGTGTTTTTAGTAATACCTACCTGATAGTATTCTTTTTAATCAAACTTTCTTTGTAATAACTGTGGAAACATATTAATACCTTAGCCTTAACGTATAGTATTTACAATAACATGAAGAGAAAATTTTATATATAAAAATCAGCAGATGAGCCAGGCATGGTGGTGCACACCTGTAATCCCAGCACTTGGGAGGCTGAGGCAGGAGGATCATTGTGAGTCTGAGGCCAGCCTGGACCGCACCATGAGTTCAAGGCCAGTCTGAACTACATGGTGAGGCCCTGTCTCCAAAAAACAAAGAAATCAAAAAATTAGCATCTGAGAAAGTACAGAATTTTCTTTGTAGAGGCTGAAAATGGTTTTCTGTTACCTTAATGTAAGCTTAACTGTTTGTTACAAAAGGTATCATCTATTGAAAAGTATAAACTTTCACGGAGAAAATGATATTTCTTGTGCTGTCAAACAGTAACTCTAACCTCGTATAGATTATATTCAGACTTCAAATTCTATCAGCTCAGATTATGTCTTGCGCTTCATTAAAATTAGATCTGTGGTCATGCTGCTTTCCATAAATCTATTATACTCTGCAGACACTCTCTATGTGACTCGTAACGAGTGACTTTTCACCCCAAGTCACATGGCAGAGATTTTGCCATGCTTGCAAAAACTCACCCGTTCATTATTTCTTCAGACAAGATGCTTCACACTGAAAGGTCAGGAAATCTTTTAAAGGCAGAAATTTATGATTGCTCTTTGTTATGTATAATCCACTTAATTTGAAAGGGTGTGACTTTCAATAATTTTTAATTAAGTCTAGTAACATCATAAGCAAATTGTGCTAAAAATTATAGCTGTTTATATAATAAATCATAAGGGCATGAAATCAAAACCTACCTTTAAATAGAAAAGACGTGGGAAGCTATCCATAGGGAAAGGGTTGCTATTGGTCTATGTTATTAATACCCTTAAAAACTTATATAATCATCTGAATGTTTAATGAAGAGTTTCTCTTTCAAAGTATAGTTAATACCTATCACTTGCTAAATAATGAAATACATCTTCTTTGCTTAAAGTATATCTTTCATAACTATGTTCTATTTTAAAAATGATTTAGGAAGTATATCTGCAAGAAATTTTAAAATGTTTCTATGACATTAGAGAATATCTCATAATTCTTTACAAAAGAAAGTCCTATTATTTCTCAAAAATTAATGTTTGTATGTGTTGTAATTGTTTTCTTTTTTTTTTTTTTTTTTTTTTGGTTTTTCTCCGGTACCGGGAACTGAACTCACGACCTTGCGCTTGCCAGGCAGGCGCTTTTGCCGTTGAGCTAAATCCCCAGCCCCCTGTAATTGTTTTCTATAGAGCATAAAACTACTGTGCTGACTTTAAAGAAATATACTACAGTGCCACAGTAGGAAAGTGACAGTGGAGTATTTAGACCTGAAATTATACAATTTTCTGGTGAAATAATTCATAGCATAAGTCCATGCGCAAAGCATATAATACAAAGGCTGCAAACTACTTTGTCCATCTTGGTCAGAAAACCAAGATTAAGCTTACAGTACAGATTATACAATTTTATGTAATTAGTACTAGAAGATTAAGTTGTGTGGTCTTAACAAATAGCACAGGGGTTCACAACTTCAAAAAACTAAAAGTTTCTTTCTTCTTCAAGGGAATTTAGCTACAGGTTTGCCCACTTAAGGGCAGTCTGTCCTCTGGGAAATGTCCCCATGTTTTACCACCATATGAAAACCTGCATATACAAACCCTATGCCAGAGGAAAAAGACGCTCACAGAATCTATGATGAATCAGCAGCAGTTAAACTCTTCACTTAAAAGTGAATTTTGTGATTTATCACACTTTATGCTAAAACAAATCATAACCGTGCTTAACTTCAAGGGAGATGCAAAGAATATAATCTTGCTCATGCTAGACAAAGAAGAATACTGATTACTGATTTTATCCCAATTTGTTCAATCTTCTTATGTACGTGTGACACATGTATCTGTATATATCTATGCATATATGTGCATATTGAGTGTGTTCATCTGCAGAACAGTACCTTGATTATAAGAAATACACTAACATATTTAAACTAATATATTTAAGTTATTGGGTACCATTTCATCAACTTCTATTTTAAAGAGAAAAAAATAACAATGACAAAAAAAATAAAAACAATAAAAATGATACAGGATTTTAAAACAAGATGACAGGAATTAACAATGGTTGTTATATTACATATTGTTATCATCAACTGCTAAATGGTCCAGGCAAAAAATTATTGACATTATAATCTTAATCTTATTATAATTCTGAGGTTTGTTCAAAACTAAAGTAAACAAAAATAATAATAGAGTAAAAATAACTTCTTATATAATTGCTTTCCAAACAAAGTTGAATACAATTATGTATTCTAATATCAGTAATACACAAAAATTGTCATAAAATGATTCTTACTGAAGTAGCATTTGGAAACTAAATCACAAGTGGTAACCACTAGAGATAGTTAATATACTGAAAAAGGTAAGAATAATTATTTTCACATTAAAACAAAAGCATTTATGTTGGCGTGTATTGGTGTGTGTGTGTGTGTATGTGTGTGTATCTTCCTACTTCTGATTAAATAAGATTGATAATTTACTTTTTCAACATAATTCTTTTTATTATATAAACTGAACTGCAGGATTTTTCCCAAAAGCTACTTTAAAGTTACAATGGGAAATTCTGAAGGAAAGTAGCCTTTAATTTTTGTTTTCTTTTTAAAGAGAAAAAAACAAGAAAACCAATGAAAGTAGACTTTTACTAATTAAATCTGGCCTCTATTTAATATACATAGTAGTATGTTAAGTATAAACAAATAATTAAAATTAATGTTAGCTTTTAGGCTGCTTAATTTTCTGAACCCCTGTGCAGATCTTCAAAAACTTCATTTAAAAATGAAAAAAATGACTTTCGAAACATTTTTCACTGAGCATAACAAACTGTTATTTCTCACTATGTAGTTAATTATCCTTATAGAACAAAAAATGACAAAGTACTTACTTTTGCAAAGTTCAGAATGACCTGATCTAACTTCATGAAATACCAGGGTGCCTTGACACTTCCTTTATATATGCCGAGAATAGATGAAGATTGAAATGGAATTATGCCACATTTTTCTCAAATAATTGGTAGTGTTCAAAAATGACGTTTTACAATGCAAAGCGTGGAAGGAAATAATATTTCTATTTAACCTATTCAATTTTTACAGTTAATCTTAATCCTAAAATACAGGGAACATGAATATCTCCTAGAGGAATTTTAAGAACCTTAAATATGAAGGCACAATATGAATAATATGAATACAGACATGCATTATTTTATTTTCTGAGTAAATACTAGCACTTCCCCATCCTTCCACTGCTGACTTTGAAAAGAAAATTGTGCTTCAGTGTGTCCCCAAGGGCCTCCACGCAAGACTTCCTTGGCTGCACTTGGGAGGTCTTCTGCCTCTTTCCTCAAGGAGAGAGGGAAAAGCCGGATTTGTTGCACAGCAGCACAGCGGACCCTCCTGGGTAGCAAGCTGGTGCTACGTATGAGTCAGTTCTCCCCAAGCGGGCACTTTCAACACTTTCAACACCTTCCACCCACCGGGAGTCTCCTACCCAAGGGATTTGGTCTGCAAGAGCAGACGGATTTAGAAGCGCCACACACACTCTCCACAGCGTGGGCCCGGGCTCCTTGATCTTTGTCCTTTACTCTCCCATGTGAACTCTACTCTGCACCAATGATGTGGTGCACCATTCCTGCTAATTGCCGTGTTCCTCATACCTGTCTGCATGCCTTTTCTTTTATTTACTTTTTCTTCTGCTTAGTTCTCTACTTTGTCAGAACTCTGCATTTTAAAATTTCATCCCCTCTAAACTCATCTCAATGCCTCCTACTTGAGACATTTTTCAGTCTCCAAAACATAATAGAATCTTATTCCTCTGAATCCTAGTTACACTGAATACCTCTCTTAACATCATTATTTCATTTCACGTAGATTAATACTCATTTTTATGCTTGTCTTATCAGTCCTACCACTCTTTTCTATGCATATAGGATCTTGAAAGTAGCAGGAACTATTTCCAAACCATGGTTTCCCTTGAAGTATCCTGCATGAATTTCGCACTCAATACATATGCATGCAATTGTTTTGAAGAGAATTCTTTATATATCAGATGAATTGTAAGAACATAGATGCTAGAATAAAAAGCACCTGGGCTGGGGATATAGCTCAGTGGCATAAGTGCCTGCCTGGCAAGCGCAAGGACCTGAGTTCGATCCTTGGTACCGCAAAAAAAAAAAACAAAAAGCACCACAGCTTGGGCTGAATGCATCCTAAGAAAGCTTTTAGAACTTGCAGGGAGGAAAAAAGTCACTTTTTTATTTCTAAGAGATAAATTTCCTATTAATAGTTGGTATTTTTATATGAACATTAAGGTTTATCTATATAGCAGAATTTCATCCAGGTCTCATACATTCCTTTCTTGTGATGAAATATTAGAAAATCTTAAATAGCAATAATAGCATGAAGTGTATATTGTTATATGTGAGAAGATTTTTAGAAATATTCTTATTACTAATTTTGCATAAGTCACACTTTGTAATTTCTCCAGTACTCTGAAAATATTCTCAGATGTGCGGAATTAGATTCCCATAAATAATAGATGATATCTAATATGATATTTATCAAATTTTTCTACCAAGCTATTCCCCAAACAACACGATGATGCCTCAATGACTGATTACTCCAAACCAGACTTCCAAAACTGCCATATTGCTGTTCTAATTAAGATCACATTGGGGCTTATCTGCACAATAACCCTGACATCAGATCCGAACTGCTGATGTAGCTTTAATGTGGATTGGGGCAAGAAAATAAATAGCCTTTATGTCTATAAGCTTAACAGCTATCTTGCAGTTCCTAGACACATTATGCTGATGTTGTAAAAGGTTACTTTTTAATCATTTTTTCCAAAGCCAATCAGTCAATTCCAATGTCAAAAATAATTCAGATCCTTAAAAGGAACAGTTTAAATAGCATGCTTGTATTCACAGCGAAAACGGTATCAGTAAAGAAATGTGCTTGTATATCAGTAATTTTAGGATTATATATAAAGGAATTTATCAAGTAATTATATATGTTTGTATAAAAGCTATAATTAACGTGTTTGAGAGTTAGGATCGAATAAACCCAGTGCCGCAGGGAATGTGGCATAGGAATGCTCATTTTATTCTCCCCAATGCAATTAGTTTATTTTAAGATTCAGTTCTACTCAAATCCTAAACTTCTTTGCAGGGGCAGCCAGGGTCACTGAGCTGAGTGATGGAAGATAGGGTATGAACTGTGACAGAGATTTTCACCTTCATGAAGGAGAGAACATTAAAGAAATGCTGCTTAATGCAGGTTATTCTGATGTTGAGACTGCATTCAGCACTACATAAAGGATCCTAAATTGCTATTAAGTTCTCACATCAACTGCCTACTGATGTATTTGCAGAACAGAGAGATGTCCTTAAACACAAAAGAAGTAATACCTGAAGATCAGCTCAGGTTGTGGACACTGGGATCATATTGAGCAACAAAGTCCTCCCCATTGTACCATGAGCAATGTAAAACATTTTACTTTCATAACTGGCATCGGAAATACCATAGCAGTACAAAGCTAAGCTTTCCAGGAGTTGTCACACCACATAGATGGTTGGGCTTAGTCAGTTAATACTTTTTAATTTGTGTGACAGCTGTGAACACAAAATGGGACCACGCCTGTGCAGCACTTACCAGGGGGCTAGCACATAAAAAGATGCTTCACACCAAAGTCTGTTGGTGAAAGGATGCATGTGTCTTACTTTTGTGTTGCTGGAATTTTTGCACTTAGACACTTCTGCCTTTTAAAACCACATTGGCCGTGGAACTCCAGTGACAGTTGTCACTGCTCAGTCATTGCAGTGAAGCTGTGAGCTTCACTGTTACTCTGGTGGAAACGGAAGTCCCGTATTGCTTCCTCCAAAAACAGACAAGCAAAAACATCCATGGACCACACGATGAAGGGAGATACAGCTTAGCTGCCTGTAAGACTTCTATCAGATTCTGGAGCTAAGAATGCAGCAACATCCAGACCTAGAGAAGGGAATCAGTATCCTGGAAGAGAATTCTGGAGACAGCAAGAGAAAACTCTAAAAAAATCCTATCTCGGCAACACCTTCGATACCACAGATGAGGATACTGTGTGGGAGAACAGACTTCCACAAGTATGGATCTAAAAGTGGCTTAAAAGATTTGAGCTTTGTGAGTTTTTTGAATACCTTTCCTTTTAATGTATGCAAAAGGGTGATGGAAATAAACTATGCAATTGCTACACAAAATTATTTCAATAGCATGTAATAAAAATTAGAGTTGAGCAGAAGTCATTGCATTGTAGTTTAATTTGCAGCCATTTGTTTTGATTTGGGTCATATATAATGGCTGTGCAGTGCACGACCACTGAAGTCTGGGATTTAAAGGAATATGATCATGACGGAATGGCTTTTCTGAATGAAAACATCTTAACAAACACACGTACATTTAGGAAATAACACAAAAACAATACAAGCAATACAGAATCTCAGACAAGGTGATAGGAAATTAACAATGGTAGAAGGAAAAGTTCTATACAGTGAAAAAAAGAGGTTGAAGAGGATTTCAGAAAATGGAAAGATACTCCTTGCTCATGGATAGGAAGAATCAACATTGTGAAAATGGCCATGCTTTCTAAATTGTTGTACAGACTCAATGCAATTCCAATTAAAATACCATTAGCATACCTCACAGATCTAGAGAAAATATTCCTAAAATTCATCTGGAACCAGAAGGGACCCAGAATAGCAAAAGCAATCCTGGGCAACAAAGATAAGGCAGGAGACATCATAATCCCTAACTTGAAAGTGTACTACAAAGCTACTGTGATAAAATCAATATGATACTGGCAAAAATACAGACCTGAGGATCAATGGAATAGCCTGGAAGATGCAGCCACCACCACAAGCACATTCAGCCACCTTATCTTCGACAAAGGGGCTTTTCTGTTAATGCTCTGGAGGATCATAAAGCATCATTCAGTTTTTATTCCTACTCACTCTTAAACCTAATGTACTAAAATAGTGTTTTATTTTTAATTTTTTTCTTTTAAAGAGAAAATATCTGGTCTGAGTAACCACTTTGAAGATAACAATATGTAATATAGCAACCATTGTTAATTTTCTATTACCTTGTTTGGAAATTCTGTATCATTTTTATTGTTTTTGTGTTGTTTTGTTTATGTCTTTGCTTTTGTTATTTTGTTTTTGTTATTTTCTCTTTAAAAGAAAAAAATTATATATATATATATATATATATGCAAGGATAGCTGGGAGAAGTGTACTGCTGATGTCTATTGGTTTATTAAATGGTGTTTTAAAATGTGTAATTAAGACTTTTAATTTGGGAGATAACATTTGCAAATCCGCTCAGTAATCTTCATCCACAGAGTCTGAATATGCCTTTTTCTTCTGGTTGTCAGTCAGATGGACTTCACTGTACCTCAGATTCAACTGCTCTGGAAGAGAATAGCTTATCTCTTTAAGGCCCTCCATAGTCTTCAGTGTCATGTACAGCATCTGTTTTATACTTTAAGCTAGGCTATGCAAGACTAAGGTAAGATTCATCCGCAGTGTATTTCCTAGCAGTGTGCTAGTAACATGCTATGTGCAAAAAAGTGGCAGTTTTCTTAGCTGTTAGCCATGTTGTTTCCAAGGAACAGAGAATAGTACGGTTCTTGTTGGCTTTATGACCCCTATGCTGTCATGATCGATTTTTATAGGTGGAATTCGCTGCCCAAACACCAGTGCTTTGCAAGAGACACGCAGCTGCAATGAGCACCCTTGTACCGTGTACCACTGGCAAACTGGTCCCTGGGGCCACTGCATTGAGGACACCTCAGTGTCGTCTTTCAACTCAACCACAGCTTGGAACGGAGAGGCCTCGTGCTCTGTCGGCATGCAGACGAGAAAAGTCATCTGCGTGCGAGTCAACGTGGGCCAAGTGGGACCCAAAAAGTAAGGACTTTACAATGACAACAGTAAATCCTGTGCCCAGCCGTGTGGAGGACTGGCTCAGGCTTCACCTGCTTTATGAAACAGAGCATTTTGATGCCTGTCATACCTGTCCTCAAAAGTAAGATTTGTTTGTTTTGAATGTCAGCTGCTGATAGAGCTGTAACACCTTCAGAGTCTTTTACTGGGGTCTATAAATTCTACAGAAATCTTTCTATCTAGTACTGATGTTCTGTTTTATAGTAGCACTTCCTGCTTTTATCACACTGGTGAAGCAACGAAAGAAGTACTTGCTGTAGGCCTAACTGATCAATAATGACAATACAGAGTCCTGAAAATGTAGGACATTCATGACCTTCCATATACCTGTAGGCTATGGCGGCCGCCAATACACTTTAATTGGGTAGTAGCCTTGTGTGATCTGCCTTTCGTTTCCCATAGAGGATACTTCCTCAAAAACACTGAGGCCACACTTATTATATCTTCCAGTGGTTAAGTGGGTAAGTCATTTACTTCCAAGAGACAGCCTTGGGATAAGATGACCATCAGGATAAGTGAAAAAAACTATCAGTTTTTCATGGTGGCTACAGATACTGTAATATCAAGGCAAATGATTTGCTAGAGGGGAGAACAAAGAAGCAGAGTGTTTGTACATTACATGTGCCTTGTGATATATAAACAAAGACAAATAATGCCATAGCTGGAATAACTGATTCTGAGAGAAAATTAATAAATGAAATCTGAAAGCTATCCTTTTGAGGTGGAGAACCTATTCTGTTTCGTTTTTTAAATTTAAACAGCGTAAATTCTGAAACAGTCCAATAATTTTAGTCTTATGGGGCCTGAAAAGTAACACGCATCAACTTTGTGTAGGGATAAATATCTCCTTATATTTTCCCAATAGCCAATCAAGGAGCCAATTACTGTGTGTGTTCTTGAACATGGTACCTAATTAATTCTGGCCTCAATTTTCAGTCTCTTGAAAGCATTCAATGAGAAAAATTACTAGTGTAATCACTCAGTGTGTGTAAGATCATCATTTTCTTGTGAGAATTTAAGATACTTCCTAGAGTTTGTAGAAAATGGAAATAAGTAAACTGATGTTTTGAAAACTCCGTGGGAAATGAATACGAATCCCGTTGTGTGTCTGTTTTATTGGATAGGGCTCCAGACCTTAACCATAGCTCCACACTTCATGCATCTTTAAATCATTCAATAGAAGAGTATCCTGAGCCTCACATCAGAACCACAGTAATCCACTTAAAACTCCCTTTGCCTTTGCAACTTTCAGTCAGTGACCTGGATACATCGATAGATTAGTGAAATCAAATGGATTTACTTTGCCCTTAAAATTTTGGAAAATTAAGCAAGCATTTTGAGTTCAGAAGAAAATGTCACTGCCCTTTCCTCTGAATGCTAGGTTAAATTCAGTGAATGCTTTCCAGTGTTGGTCATTTGAAACAAAATGCAAATAGAAACCTTGTTTTAAACTCCTCTTAATAAAATAGATTACTATGCAACGGTAAAATCAATGCTATTGATTTTATCTGTCCTCCCAAGTAACAAACTTCAACTCCTATCACATCTGCTTAATTTGACCTTGAATAAGATTTGCGGGGAAAATCAATTCCTTGATTTAACCCACAAACACTAAATACAAACAGTACTGAGGAGAGAAGCAGCGTGTTGACTGAAACAATTGCCTCACCAAAGGAAGTCTGAATTTATTTTATTGAATGTAGTCTAGGCTGTATAATTTATCTTTGTGTGTTCATTTAATGACTTTGTTACTAGTAATTTTGTTCTCCCCAGTTAGCCAAGTATCTTGCTGTGGCTATTTCTAAACTAAAACATAATATTTGAAGGTTGTTAATGATAACGCTGTAGATTCCATTGATTTATTCCGGGCTAATTTTTTAAGAGCACACAACTGATGCCCTGCCATTGCCGCTGTTATAAAATTGCCTTACTGGAAAGGAGTATGTTCAATAATAATTACTGACCAATGATTCCATAGTCCCAAATGAATCAACTGGATTATAGGTGAGATTTTACTGCAGAATGAGCCCTGGTTAAAAAAACAATGGAAGTTATAATTCTGGTGATTTATGATCGATCAAAACCTTAGCAGTTTATTTAGCTTTTTTGATTCACATGCTAATTTCTTTGGTGCTCACAACTTTGAATAGTCACAGCAATTAGGAAAAAAACAAGCATATCCTCAACATAAACCAAGGAGATAATTTCGTATTAAAATGCTGAATCCTATATATTTTAAACTCAATTGTTTTAAAGAGAGATGAGCATGTATCTTTACAATTAAATAAAGCACCATATTTATATATGAGTAATGGCATGTAGATAAATAATTAAATATAAGACATACCAAAAATATTGACTAAATATTATAAAGATATTATGAGAAATAGATAAGTGACATTGATTTCTTTCAGTTCTGCAAACCTAACTAATTTACTTGATAAAAGATCATAGTTCAGTTCTGCAAACCTAACTAATTTACTTGATAAAAGATCATTTATTTTGGCCTCCAAAAATGTGGCTTCTCCCCTATGGCATACAGTATTTTTAAATCCTGTTTGTTCCTAATATGCCAATTTATTTTTTATTGACCTTTTATTTCACTTATAGTTATCCATTTTTACTTCAAAACTGATACTGTAGGCTATAAAAATATTTTAAACACCATAATTAAAACTAGAGAAAAATGGAAGGGAAAAAATGATACTCCAAATAAAACCAGGAAAAAGCTAAAATTATTGATTATAATGATGTATACATTTTTATTGTGTTATGATTTATTGTGAAGTACACAGCTGCTGATACATTATTGTTTTTTGAACTTGTACTGCATAAAGAACATACTCCATTTTGTTTATTTTATGCTAAGCATATTTTGTAAAAGAGAGTGTAAAACAGCTTGTAGACTTACAATAAGTGAAAGGCCTATTTAGTTATACAGAGATCTAGAATTGAGTCCTTAAAACTGAATACCACAGAATTTCTTATAAAGCATAGTAGAATATGTGTATTTATTGACGGAGAGATTATTAAAAGTGAGAAAGTATAGTTGTTACATTACAGTTGCTGTAATTACATCTACACATTCTAGCTTAAGAAATCTGCTGAAGTACAGTTTGAAAGAACAGAGTTGTGTGACGAGTAGTTGGCAAAAGCAGAAAGGTGTGCTGGGGATGTGGCTGGGCAGCACAAGTACCTGCCTGGCAAGCGCAAGGTCCTGAGTTCGAGTCCTGGTAACAAAGAAGAGCAAAAAGTTTCCTGGAAGTTAAATGATACAGTTTGGTGACTGTTTTGCAATTTTGCCAATAGAAATCCTAAAGTTACCTGGTTTTCTGGCTGGACTCTGGAGGACAAATAGTTTCCTTTTGCTTTTTCCAGGTGCCCTGAAAGTCTTCGGCCTGAGACGGTGAGGCCTTGTCTGCTTTCCTGCAGGAAGGACTGCATTGTGACCCCCTTCAGCGACTGGACGCCATGCCCCTCTTCCTGCAAAGAAGGTAAGGTATGCAGAGTTCTCACAGCTGTCTGCCCGGAACATTCCCTCATCAGGACTTCCACATTCTTCTGCCTGAGCAGTATTTGTGAATCTGCACAGAACTATGTAATCCTGAGTTGGCAAGAATACCATAAAATTTTAGTTTCCCTCTAGAAAGAACACTGTTTTAGAGTCACAGACAGTTAAGTTTTATGCCAACAACTGACTTAAAATTGTATCACATCAATCAAAATGAAAGGAAATTAGACCTTCTTATATGAATAATGTTTGCTTTTACATTAATTGTTAAAAATATCTACTCGTCCTCCTGTTTTAGAAACAATATACAATGGTAATATCGGTACACATGACTTGCAGTCTACATACTGGCAAGAAGTAGCATGGGACCAGATTTGCCAGAGATTCAATCGTGCGACCCCATCCTGAGAATAAAGGAAAGAGTAAAATAACCAGATTGTTTCTTTGCCCACATTTAATGTGCCATGAGATGCTTACAAGATGAGTATTTGTTCCCATTTTGGCTTAGTTTTGTTTTTATGTGACTTACCAAGACCCTATAGTATCATAGCAAAAGCCTGGATAGTTCTTTCCTTAACTGTCAGGACAGGATCTTTTCTCAGTGCTTGGGAGAAAGGTATCCACACCTCCCAGGGGTTTTGTATAACTGAGCAACTTTCAAGTGCCACACATGGCAGTCTATGTCCTCTTTCACTCCCCCAACAAATACATACAATGTCTCTTTGATTCTCTTTATGGTTTTATTTTATTCACACTTCTTGACTCTCACTATAGAGACTGAATTCAGAACCAGCTTCTAAAAGTCTGCCGTGATTGCTTGTTTGATCAGTCTTGTGTGTCTCTATTTGTTTTCTTGAGAAACCCCTTTGAAGATATCAATAAGTAATCCAACAACCATTGTTAATTTCCTACAACTGTCCGTAACTCTATTTTGTTTGTATTGTTCTTATGCTATTTTGTAAATGGATGTCTGTTTGTTAATGTTTTCCTTCTTTTATTTCTTAAAATAAAAAAAAAAATTTAAAAACCAACTTCTAGTTTAACAAACAGCTGTTTTACTTGCAAAAATTTAAAATCCTTAGGTGATATAAATTTAATAATGGGTTGTTTTTACAGTTTAATTAACATTTTATATAGTTGGAATATAAGTTTCTTTTTAGGTTTTCTCTGCCAAATACCCTTGAAGAATCAAATAAAATTAAGTCACAAACTGTGCAAAAACAACCAGTTTTTGTTTTTGAAGATTTTGAAGGATTGCTAGAGCTGTAAGGGAAAAAAGGAATTATAACCATTAACTAAAAAATTCTAATGGCCTAAACTTACTAATAGACAATGTCATTGTCTAGCTTTTTTCCCAGATTTTTTTGTTTTATTCCTTTATTTTCTTGAAGAACTAAATAACATATGTCATTATTTAGTTAGTTCACAGTCAGAAATAGCATTATACCTTCTATTATTATTTTTGTAGTAATTATTCCATTAAAAATGTTATTCGTAACATGGAATAAATATATTTGCAAATTTTATCTTTTAAGTTTTATGCTTGCTATTTCAAAGCATTCTAGCAAGAATGGAATTAAAGAAGATGAACAAAAAAGTTAGGAGGATTGAACAGAAAGTAAGATATTTGAAGATAAGACTATACAGTGGCTCCAGATACATGCAGCAAGGGATGAGTAGAGGACTGATGTAAGAGACAAGAGAAAAATCACTGGGTGTGAGAAGGTATAATTCAGGGTCTAGTCCCTTGCACACAATAATAATATGGTGATTGAAGATAACCGAAGTGGTGGTAGGAGTGAGAAGAAGGTTTCGCTGTGACAGATGTTCTAAGGGCACTGCCTAATGAGATGCCTCAAAGGGACTGCTACAAGGTAGAAAGCTGGTGGTAATGTTAATTTCAGGAACTTAAAGGAGTTGGAGATTCTTAAGGGTAGAAGGAGAAAGACAAAATTGGAAATAGCTAGATGGAGCCAGCTTCCATTGGCAACAGAAATAAAGGAAATTTTCCATTAAGAGGTTGAAGATCATAGATTATGTGTTCCGAGTAAATGCAATGGTAGATGAGTTAGGGATGGAGAGGAACGAGAAATTGCATTAGATTCACAGATGCGCAGTGCCCTGTGACTGGGTGATGGCCCGAAGAATTGCAGACTAGAGAGGGTTCATTTCTCGTGGTAAGTGACAACTACGTGAAGTAGGATGGATGCAGTGGAACTGGTCTCTTGGGGGAAGGCAAATACTGCTGTAAGGAAAAGTGCATGGTGCCATTGTTGAAACTATTCTTTCCTGGGGTGGTGATGACCTAGGAGTGCAAGAACGCCAAATCGGGACCACGCTCTCTCAGAAGCAAGAGGCACTCTGAGGGTGGAGGCTCTGTTTGTCTGAGCAAAGGTCATTCCACCAGGGAAAGGACATCAGACTTTTCTGTGTCGTTTGGCAGCTGTAGGTTGAGTCTCCTGGAACAACGTGTTTTCAGAAAGCCTGTATTAGTCACTTCCCCATCACTGGTGCAAAATACCCAATGCCCACAACTTAGTGGAAAAGAGGTTTATGTGAGCCCAGAATTTTGGTGGGTTCAGTCCACAGCTGGGAGAAACTTCATAGCAGAAGGTCCCGGTGGAGGAAGGCTGCTCGTGTGATGGTGCACAGGAAGCAGAGAGAGAAGGGAGGAGCCGTACACACGAACACACCTTTCCAGGTCACTCCCCTAATGACCAACCAGGCCCTGCCTCCAAACAACACAGTCAGCTGCTGAACTCAGGAATACGCTGGTGAGGATAACGCTGAACTCAGGAATACACTGGTGAGGATAACGCTGAACTCAGGAATACGCTGGTGAGGATAACGCTCCTAAGAGCCCATTGCCTTCCCAGGAATGCATGAGACTTTGGGGAGACATTTCCAATCTAAACGACAGTGAACTCTAAACCTCCTCTCTCAGATTTAAAAGGAATGACTAATAGTGGGAGTGAAAGAGACAGGGCAGGACTGATACAAGAGGCTGTTGATGGATAACAGTGGCAAGATGCTTTGTGCTCCTGAAGAAAAGCTTTCGGTTTTGTTGGAAGAGCGCTGTAACTGACTGTGAGACAATATGTCATAAAAAGCTAGTTTTTTGTTATGAAGAGCCTAAAGCAAGGGCATGAGGTTACTTTTTCCATTACTTATAAGAAATGGGAGTAATCCAAGTGTCACTGAAATTACACTGCCTTTCACACACAATTAGAAAGTGCTAAACGAAGTTTATTATTCAGCCGGGTGTGGTGGCACACGCCTGTAATCCCAGAACTCAGGAGGCTGAGGCAGGAGGATCATTGTAAGTTCGAGACCAGCCTGGGCTGCAAAGGGAGCTCAAGGCCAGCCTGAACTGCGTAGCAAGACACTGTCTCAAAAAGAAAAAAAAAAGTTTATTGTTCAAGGAGAGACAATAGCAATTGAAAATTAACTTAAGGATAAGGTGCTTCTTCTCTGGTAGGTTAAGTATAAATTTTATAAGAGCTTTCAGTTAATTAAAAAATGGAGCTATCCTCCCTGGTTAAGTCACTTTAAAGAGGTAAAATTACACTTTAGTATTGCAGAAAGTGAAATAGAATAGCTTACAATGGCAGGAAGTTATTTGAAATTTTAGTTGGCCATCTTCCAAGATATACCTTGAAAAATCAATGTTGATAAAGATCAGTATTGAGTAGAATGTCATTTGATCTTCAAGCAAGTATACTTGTTAACTTCTTAAAATTTTTTTCATAAATTTTAACAAAGGCACAAAGCAGAAATGATCTGTACATAGAAGTTATTTATAACTCTAATCTCTAAAAAAATCAATACTTTTGATCAAATAAGATATTTGGTTGCTCCAATTCTACTTGCTCCTTTGTAATATTTTTATTTATTGCCTCAAAAGATACAATACAGAATATTGTAAAGGCAGTGTTCTACCCTCATCTGATCAATCAATCATACTCATGAATTACCCTCAAGGATTCCAAAACTAACTTTACATTTTTCTTCTTTTATGGCGTATTTCCCTTTCAATACCATATTACTATGCTGCTCCAACCTGCCATTTGCCCCACTTGCAATTTAAGAAGTCAGTTTTACCTGCCCTCTAAATCCTTCCTCAGGTAATTTCTCTGGTGAAGTTTGCCTTGAATGTCTCATGATATCTGAAAAATGTTGTAACTGTCCTACAGAGGACATGTCCTCCGAATCTGTGTGCCCTGTGTCACACAGTTATTTTCTGGATACGTAATCCCTTTCACAATTCCAATTCTTGTGGGGATTTTCAAGTGTAAACGCAACAACGGGTGCCTTTATTTCTCACATCCCCGTTATTCCCAGAGGAAAAAAGATAGTTTTCTCAACCCTTAGTGTTCACATACAGTACCCAGATGTTTATTACTTTAAGGAAATGCATTGGAAAGAAAGAAGATACTAATAATCTAATGGGGAATATGTGAAATAAATATCCCTGTTCACTCAACAAATACTTAGTAAACACAGCTATCTATAATTACTACGCTAGGTGCTCAGTTAAATGGAAAACAAAGTTAAATGGAAACTCTGCATGTATGTTGACCATATATAATAAGTTTTTGTAAATACATACAAAAAATTGTTAGAGGAAGCAGCTCCACTTTTAAGTGTGTGCTATAGGTCGACCTTTCCGTGGCCTCTGATCTGAAAGCTCCCTAAGCTAGCTGAGTTCTACAGTACCGTTACTCTGAACACACAGCAATTTAACTGAGATCTCAGAAGAGACAGACGTCTTAATGGGTGGAGACGTGGATGTCATGACACTTTCTGTGTAATAACATTCAACTTTCTCTCCACGTGCTGTGGTTTTGAAGCATTCTGCTCTGGTGAGGTCACAATTTCTATCCTGCGAGCTGCACAAAGTTCAGGTTAAGGAACCTGAACTTTTAATAAGACTATGTAGATTGCCATTGTAGAACCAATTAAGAAAGCACCAAGAGTACTCATGGCCTTACCTCTTGAGCACAAACTTGTGGAGTTTGTGATGAAAACGCACTAGCAGAATGCTTCACAATTGTACTTTAGTGACACTTTGCTTTTAAAAAAATAAATAGAATTGGAACACTAAACTTTGGTTGCTCCTTCCCAAATGGAACATCCTGGCTATGCACAGTCCTACACGTATGTTATGGTTTGTGTCTGCATGTCCCCCCAAATCCTCATGCAGTCATGAGGCTGGCTTCCAGAGTTTATGACTGATTCACAGTCAAATCTTGGAATTATGGGTGTGAGTGTTACACCTCCCCTGGGGTAGATAGTTTGTATACAAAGTAAGGGAGGGAAAGAGGCTGCTTGCTGCCACTCTTCCCTTTTGCTCTGGTTGCTTTTTCTATCTTCTGCCACCATGGACAGTTGCCCTCTGCCATGTGTCACCCTGCCTTGGAGCCAGCCAAGTATGGACTGAAACCTCCGCAGATTGTGAGCTAAATAAACCTTTCCTTCCTTAATTTTGGGCGTTGGGTATTTTGTCTCAGCAATGAGAGAAAAGTAACCAAGACAGTATGACCTTTGCATATGTAGTTAGTGACCAGACATCTTGGTCTCTTAGTTACCACTGGTCCCTTGATATCAGTTCTGTGTCTGATTTGTATCTGCACACTGAACAGGACTGGAGACTGAGTGCTTCTAAGAGATCTGACCAGTTGGGAAACAAAGGCCCATGTAATTGTGCTCTTTTCCCTGTTGAAAACAAGCAAAAATCTTCTTCCTTTCTCCAGTGTTAAGCAAATGATGAGAACAGTCATTTAGTTTATGCAGTCTTTAAGAAAAGGACAGATCATATGCATAAGACAAAAAAGTAGAAACTGTAAAAGGAGGGTGAAGGCAGGTGGTGAGTGAAGGAGTGGGGAAGAGAACGGGAAAGGAAAGTTTACAATGGAAAAATCAAAGATAAGTTCCTGCATGTGGGAAGAAAATTAGCTCTGAGATTCTGGTGACCAAAGCAAAAAATGGAACCATAGTGGATTCTTAACAGATGATCAAGGGAAACAGAACTGTTCCTACCCCTGAATCATTAAAGAAATTTATCACCTGGGCCTTAAAGCAGAAGAGTGCTTTGGATGATACAATAGGTGGGGACTGCTTTGGCAATTTATTAAAATTCCAGTCCATATCTTAGATCTGCCCTGGGTAAATCTTGTTAAATATGTAAAAGTTGGAACTGGCATCAAACTAATAATATTGTGACAGTATAAAGTCTATGATGCTGTTTTCAAGTAATTTAACTCTCTGTTGCCATTACTTTCAGCACCTAAGTCCCTACTCCACTGCCTATAGTGTTCCAGTTATCCATTAAAATAGTTTACACAATCACTAGTAGTATAGGTTTCCCTCCTGCTACAAGGGGGATACGCCAAAACAAATTACACATGAACTCAGAATCTTCAATTGGCCCTTCAGCACAATCACCTGGCAGGGTTTTGAAAAATGAGCTACCCAAATCCAGCTCTCAGTCTCTGATTTATAGTTCTGGGTATAGGTCTAGAAATCTGTTGTTGTTTTTAAAGAGGTTCTCTTTTGTAGTTACACGTTCAGAAATTACTAATCTGATCCACTTCCTCTCTCAGACAAGAATTTTCTCTAAACTTGGGTCAGGTCAGTTGCCCAGACCATGGGGAGGGCATCATGAGAAAGGATGTTCCCTTATGGAAAAGTTTTATTTGTGAAATTACACTTTTCCACCACCACAGTAACTTTAAAAGTATTTCATTGTATTGCTGATTAAGTGTAATTGTTACAGGCTGCTAACTCTTTAAAGTATCCTTGATTCTGTGTAGCAAACCGTGAAAGATTTTGCAAAAGAATATAAGTGTATCCTCTGGACAACTAATTTGAGGACAAGAGTATGCAATGTAACTATTGGTGAATTCCTACCATCTTGTTTAGTGAAGCTCTGTATCATTTCTAATGTTTTTGTTATTTTTTATTCTCTATAATGGTCTGATCAATCTTGCAGTCTTACCGGGTAATCTGAGCAACTTTGTTGAAGACAGCAATATAACAACCATTATTAATTCCTATCATTTTGTTTTGAAATCTTGTATCATTTTTATTTTTTGTGTGTTGTTTTGTTTTGTCTATGTTGTTGTTATTTTGCTATTGTTTTTTAATTCTCTATAAAAAATCAAAAGAAAGAATATAAATGCATCAGGAGTTACATTATCTGCTATCATAATTCTTTAAAACTTTCCTTTTGTAAGTGAAACTATACTATGTGGCTATTTAGCCTTCAAAAATAGAAATATATTTTATTAAAGTTGGCAAATTTTACATGTCTCTGTATCCTAAAACACGTTGAACATCTTTGTATCAATAGTGCTACCAAAGTGAGGCCTTTATTGAAAGTAAATCTTTTTCCATTTTTAAAGATAACTTGGAGTTATTTACTCACAGTAATTATTGCTACTTTGAACTGCTTCTCTAAAAAAAATCTGCCTCTAGAAAGCCATTTTCATTTCACCACTTACACCTCTGATGTTTAACATGTGACCTGAATTGAAGGTCTTAAGCTGTTTAACATGAATAGTAAGTGACTGGAATAATTTACAAGTTGTGCATTTCGAATTAAGTGAATAACAACAAATAAAATTTCACATTATAACGTTGAAAATATCCTCCTAAGGAAGATTCATTACATGTGTATGAGTCCCAGGTGGTGAACAGGGCTGGGTGAAATGACATGAAAATAAACTTAGGTAGAGGAATATAATTTAATTAGATCTGTCCTATTTCCCCAGGGGAAAGAAATAAACAAAAGAGCAATTACTTTGTAACTGCATATTAAGAAACTGGTATCTGCAGACTCTTAAAAAGCCGCCTCTTTCCAGGGGACTCCAGAGTCAGGAAGCAGTCTCGGTATCGCGTCGTCTTCCAGGCACCAGCCAACGGAGGCCGAGACTGCACAGATCCTCTCTATGAAGAGAAGGCTTGCGAGTCTCCTCAAGTGTGCCAGAGCTACAGGTAACAGAAAAGTCGATGCAAGCAAGCCAGGCCGGTACAAAGACCCAGGCCATGTGCTGTCAGACTGTGAGCAGCAGAGGCCAATACTGTTCCCGCCGTAGGCTATTTGGAGTTGGAGGTGTTTATGGCTGTAGCCGCCATCTATCCCCTCTACTTAGGACAGCTTGGAAGCATCTCCAAAGATGCAGATACTTCTGTGACCTTCCTAGCTGCCTTATTAGCTCCAGGAATTCGGGGAAATGACTTACATTTTCATAAGTTGTAAGATGCAGAAAAATGGTTAATAGTTATGAAGCACTTGCGCTTTAAGAACCAATTCCTGTTTTTAAACTTAGGAGAATAGCCTACGCATTTCTCATTTGGCCCTTAAAAGCAGCTGTCTCTCGTAAATACTAGTCCTCTGACTCAGGCTATGCCATTGTTATGTTCTCTTGTTTATTGGGGATCACCATAGAAAAATTGTAGTTAGGGAAGCTGTGTACCATCCTGGTAATTTATTAGAGAACTTTGGCCTCTCCACCATGAAGACTGTGTGTAATTGAAAGTTTTGTGCTATATTCAGTAATTGCAGCCCTGACAGCAAATCAAATAGCTATGGCATCAATTAATGGAACGTATAATCACAAAATAATAATTTAAGTAGAAATGGAGAGCAAATTTGTCATCTTAATAAAAGTCTTTCTTTCTAAGATAACAAACAGTGTAATTATATGTTCAAGTCCTAACCATTGTCAATGACTTGCCAAACTTATTTATTTTGGGAATTTGCTCTTGTAAAAGTGTTTTATAATTCCAGTTGCTGAGTAACTCCTACAGGGCTAATCAAAAGAATACTACACAAAAGACCCATGACTACAATGCAGGTTCATAATTTGAATATAAATAAACATGGCTTACTTAAATGCGGTGCAGCACTTCCAGTGCTTTCTGACGCATTTCTTGGCAATCAGAATCACGAAAAAACTGAAGTGTCTTCTGCAGCTCTCTGTGGAATCTATTCCTGTAGAACAAGGCCATGATGTACTCTTGGCTTCAAAGCCCATACAAAGTGTTTTTATATTTAATTCTGTTTCTTTACAATGCTCTAGTGAATATCTAGACTAAACATAAATAGTACTAAGCATTGGGAAATAATCTCCTGTGTGCAGCGGCCCAAGTCATTTTTTGATCCTGCTGTATCTCTGAGATTTCCCTCGCATTTTTCTTTTCTCTCCATTGCAGGTGGAAAACCCACAAGTGGCGAAGGTGCCAGTTAGTCCCCTGGAGTGTGCAGCAGGACGTCCCCGGAGCGCAGGAAGGCTGTGGCCCCGGACAGCAGACAAGAGGTGAGGAGCCCCATTCCACAGATAGCCGGCTTTTCATTTCTCCAACTTCTCGCTCTTAACCACCTTCTTGATTCATCCATCCCTGGACAGCATGCTTAGTAAACAGAAAAGAATGGACGGGAATCTGTTGTGACCCAAACATCACAGCCACACACCTTTTTAATTTTGTTCTCTAGCCTTAACCTTAGTGAGTTTTTTCTAAGTTACGTCTCAAGGAAAGAATCAGACCAAGATTTTAGTTACAGTCAGTGAATTGTAGTGAAACTTCCTTTCGGTCTTGTTCCTGCTTTTTAGACCAAGATATTTGTAACATTTACTTCCTACCTTAACAGTCAATAAAATCCATAAATCCATGCCATAACCCTCATGTTTGTGCATACATGCAATATAATATAATGGGATAAAACTGTCCCAGTTCCTCAGCAGTGTCGTCAGTAACATTGCCATGGCTGTCCATTGACCCTAATAGTATTTATTACTGTTTTTTAACTGGCAGATTAATTTACTCAGAAATTGAAAAATGTGAATTGTATTTTGTTTATAATACTATATAATATGGGCTTCTTCAGAAATATGTGATTACAATGTTTCACCTTTGCCACAATTATATACTGAATTTATAGGAAATAATTAAATCTCAAATTTTGGGATCTATTGCTTATGTAGTACATCTAGCAAATTTTGTCTCCGAGAATATATGATTTTATTTAACTCATGCTGATTTTTACAACATGATCATATATTTCCTGATAAATACATAAAGTATAGCTGTTTGTGCAACTGAATGTGTATCTACCTTTCTTTGACTTTTGAGGACTTATTTTCTTCCTTAATTCGTTATTTGTTAATATTTCGCAGTGATACAAAAGTCTGAATAAATCAAACAGAATCTAGTTGTTAACTGATTTAAACTGGAACAGTTTAAAGAATGACTTCAGGAGAAAGTCATTTTTTGGATTAAAAAAGTCTTCTATGTTTATAAGCTTCATTTTAGAAATCTGCATCTGAAATATAAAATTTAATTCATAAACAATATCAACTAGCTAGAGATTGTTAGTATTTTGTTTCCTTTGCCTAATTTTGTGTATCTTCCACCATCAACTTTAGGTAAAAAATAACTCTGTCTAGACACTAAAATATATGAAACGGAAGTCATTCCTTCCACTGCAAACACTGCTTTGAGAAACTGAAGGAGACCTGATCTTTTCTTGTCAAGCACTGCTACTTCCTCTTTGAAACAAGCGTACATTTGGGTACAATTTTGCTTCTGAATTGAGTTTATAATGAAAGGGGCATGAGTTTGAGAATCGATAAACAGATCTTAGTTTCAGTTCTCTTACTAACACAATTTTTGTTCAGCCCTTCACCCAAAAGGGTTTCGGTTCATGTAGACTGAAAAGGAGGAGAAGAAAAAGAAGAAAAGTTTGAACTAAATTATGTTTCCAGATTATTCCAGTTCTTAGCCTATGATATATGCACAAATAACATACAGAGATCAAAGGGTAAAATTGGACTAGATAAAGGGATATTAAAGATACATTTTTATAAAATACCACTGGATGAAATAGGAGGTATGGTAGAACCAGCGCAAGTGTGAAACAGCTTCAGCTCCAGACTCAGCTCCGAGCAGCATAACCTTGGATGATTTGTTTCCTGTCTGAGACTAGAAACAAAAATGCTTACAGCTCTGGGTGTTCATCGTCTTCATTAAGTGGCCATTCTTTCCCACTTCCTATGAATTCACCATCGTGGTGAAAGTGGACTCTTGGTCATAGCGTAAGAACAGAATATTAACATGTGCCTTTTGTTTTATTTACACACTCTCTTTACAAAACTGTTCTTTCTGTGATTATTGTTGACCTTTTCCTTTCCAAACCTGGAAACCTAACTTCATCTATCAATCTGGGTGACCACTGGTAGGGTCCAATATTCTTATCCACTCCCTCTTTGGCTTCTTCAGTGCTACTTTCTCCTGCCTTTCCGGTTGTTCCTTTCTCACTGGCGGTTCTTCCTCTACCTCAAATGATGCTTCCTGGTCTCTGTATACTTATTAGATGGCCTCAAGCGGTCATGCACTTTCAGGCAGTCAGGAAGAGAAAAGTGCATTATAACAAGTGCTTTCTGCATAAATGCATCCAGAAGAGCCCTTTTACTTCCCGTACACAGACAATCTTTTTCTTTGTTGTCTCAGCAGATAGAGATTTCATTTTCCTAGAGCCTGTGTTTCTAGAGAAGATGAAATGGAGAGAGAGACATATTGCTAACAGCAGAAAGGCAAAAGTTTCTTGCTTTCATGTTTATGGCTGCTTTCAGAACTCTATATGATTAGACTGCCAAAATCCACCTGTTTTGATCTTTGTCTTTGTACAGCCAGAGACTAAAAGAAAATTTTTTGCTGATTTTTAATGATTAAAATAATTGGGTAGTAAGCATTAATTAAGTCAGGAAGAGATTCTACATGATATACTTCTGTCTTAGCTACTACACCCGGCTTTCTAATTCCAGCTACTTATTCAGCTTTGATTGTGTAGAAGCCTGCATAGAAACCCTGAGTGTCACGAAAGGATGAAGCTATTCATATCAGTGAGCCTACACTTCTTAGGGAAATGAGGTCATTATTAAGCACCGAACTTGTAGAAGTTAAAAATTAAAATTGGTCAATTGCAAAACCAATCATTTGAAACTAGAGAATTTAAGAAAAACCTGACAGATGACCTGGAGCTTGTCTTTGTACCATCTTATTAGAATAAATAGGAAAGCAGAATACAAAATGGGAACAGTTCTATAAGCTAGGCATTTGAGGTACGAAGAGCAATAAATGTCTTCACAGAAAACTGTGGAGATTGAGGCTCCAAAGATGTGAGCTGGAGCCTAGGGTGATTTTTGTGGAGAGGAGCTATAAATGTCAGGGTCAGTATTTCAGTCTTTGTCCGAGAAGTGGCAGGAGCAAGAGCCTGATAAAACCAGTGTTTTATCTGTCAGCATGTGCAGAATAAATTAGAAAGATAAGACACGGGGGCCTGGCCGCCAGCTAGGATGCTGTCGGCACAACAGAGTTAGTGAAGCTGAGAGTAGAACCACAGTATTGGAAATGGGCAAAAGTAAATGGATTTTGCACTTATGATACCGGAAAATATTTCTAAGGCTTGATGACAAACAGTAAAAGGAATGGTAAAAATGAGTCAAAAGTGAATGCATGTTTTTTTTTTAACTCCATTATTTGGAGTTGATGATCCTTTGCTAAAAATTCTTAGGCCTGAAAGTAGAGCTAATTTTGGAAAATGTGTTTAGTATGTTTGCATACAAAATGTGTTGAGTCGAAGCAGTTGAAGCCATGGCAGGGTAGCCAAGTGAAAACTCAGAGTATGAAATGTAGAGATGAAGGTGCAGAGATAGCTTGCTTAGGATGGCAGATAGAAATTTGGGCGTTTCCACAAAGTGATTCACTGAGTCATAGGAAAAGCTACAGTCTCCAAGATGTACAATATATTAAAAAATTGAACATTATGCTTCATTATTAGATTTTTTTTTCTCTGCCCTGCTCACATTTGTAAGTTCATTAACCATTTCTGTTCATCTAAAGAATTTAACTAAAATACGATTCACTGTAAATTACTGTTTCCTTACTTACATTGGAAATGGGGGCTGGGGATTTAGCTCAGCGGTACAGCGCCTGCCTGGCAAGCGCAAGGTCATGAGTTCGATTCCCAGAACCGGAAAAAAGAAAAGAACAAAAAAATATTTTAAAAAAACATTGGAAATGATACCATGTAAATTAGAATATGATCATGGTTATTTAATATTATTTACCCTTCTATGGTTCTAAACATAAAAGTATTTATTGTACAGCTTTTAGCAAAGTGCGTATACCAAAGGTCAGCAAACCAAATCCGGTTCACAACCTATTTTATTGTAATTAAAGTTTTATTGAAACACAACAACCATGTCTGTTTCTTTACATATTTCCAGTGACTTCTCTTAAGATGCAAGGTGAAGTTGAATAGCTCCCCAGAACCAAAAATGTTTTTCACGTAGCCTTTCACAGAAAAGGTGTACTGATCCGTGGTGTAAATGCAGAAGTGTTTAACCAAAGATAGAGTCACAGTTTCTAACAGTTCTCAAGCCATTACCCAATAGGATACAAAAAGTCCCCTGGAGGTTAGCTAGTCCTGGAGTTTCCAAGTTCAGCTCAGCAATGAAGGAGCTATTTGACAGTTACTAGGAGTAGATTTTAAAGAATGTGACAGTAATAAAATATCTGCCTTTAGGATAGAGTTGCAGTATTCTTGGTTTGAAGGATGATTAGGAATAAAATGTTGATTCCAGCCAGGCATGGTGGCACACACCTGTAATCCCAGCACTCTGGAGGCTGAGGCAGGAGGATCATTATAAGTTTGAGACCAGCCTGGGCTGCAAAGTGAGCTGAAGGCCAACCTGAACTGCATAGCAAGACCCTGTTTCAAAAAGACAAAAATAAAATATTGATTCCTTGAATTTCATATCCCTTGAATGGGATATGAAAGACAAGAGTAAAAATATTCGATGTCTAAAAGATGGTAAGGGGCTGGGGATTTAGCTCAGCAGCACAGTGCCTGTCTGGCAAGTGCAAAGTTGTGAGTTCAATTCCTGGTACCAGAAAAAAAAAAAAAACTAAAAGATGGTAAATCAAGGCTAATAACTGACTATCAAATGCTGATTTACTTAGTGTGACTAGAAAAGAATTTGTTTCATAAAAATGTGCCACTCAACACAACACTGTCACCTTCTGTTTTTCTCAAATTATCAGAACCTTCCATATTAGTAGAAAAGTAGACAAATATAACACTCGATTTTCTTTTACCACGTTACTAAGCAAGCATCCTTTCACCTAGTTGCTTACACTTCCTTTTATTCACCTGTTAATGAGGTGACTATTGTAGACAGACTTTCATTTTCAGTCTTAAAGTTATTAATAGCGTAAGTGTTCTCCTTCTGTATTACATATGTCAGAGGATTTGGAG